GACTTGCCAATAAAGATTGTTATATGATTTTAGATATTTTTCTCGTAAATACCATTTTACAAAAATGTTTGACAAAAAATGCTTCATGCATTTTTATCAAACATAAGGGAACATTAATTATTTTATTCTTTTTTTTTTTTCTCTTTTGAATTAATATTATAGTACATGTATATATAAATAAAATAATAATGTGCTGCGATAACAACTACAATAATTATTTACCAAAAAAAAAAAATTACTATAATAAATTAATAATAATAAGCTTAAATTTTTGTTTTATATATTTGAGCCTTTAAAAGTATAGTTAAAATAGTGTAAGTTGAAAAAAATTAAATTTCAAGGAGACAACAAACTAAATTTATTTTCAAACTCTTTATTTTGGGTCAATATATGTGTTTTGAAAAGGATTGGTGGGCTAATGAAATTTTTAATAAATTTGAGGGACAAAATCTACAAATTAATTAATATTAGGGGCTATTAATAGAATTTTCAAAAAATTTGGCTGGTCAATATATGTGTTAAAAATATTGGGGGGGCCAATTAAAAATTTTAATAGATTTAGAGCCAAAATTAATAATTTAATCAACATTTATGAGGTAGTAAAAAAAAATTCCAAAAAGTTTTTTTTTTAGGGGGGATGGCCCCCTAGCTCCACCCCTGCCTTCAACTACCTCCGGTGACGTCTACACTGTTTTGTTTTAAAAATTCAATATTGCATAATGTAAAGCATTACACTAACGTAAAATGTTTACTGCATGCACTAATGTAAAACGTTTCATGTAAAACGTTTCCTGTATGATATCAAACTTGAAAGTATTTCAAAGTATAAATGATATTCCACCTTTTCTCGTACCCAACCCAATTCTCAAAATTCCTCCACCACCACCAGTATCCTCTCATGTGACCAGTGCACCCCTATACTTATTTGGTAAACTTTTTTAATTTTGTAGAATGTAAAACGTTTAATACACTAATGTAAGATGTTCACTGTATTAATGTAAAACATTTACTACATGATGTCAAACTTGAAAATATTTCAAAATGTAAAAGATATTCCTCCGACCACATCTTCCCGCGACCTCCCCAACCCAATTCTCAAAATTCCTTTGAAGACCGGAGGCTTTTGGGTGTTGGATTTCTCTTTCTTGTTGCCGATCGAGGGGGCTGGTAGATAGAAAAAGTACAAACCCTATATTAGCTTAGTGAATGTAAAAATATGCTTAAGGGTAGGATTGTAAGTCTTCAAGAGTGTTTAGGGATAATTTGGACTCTTATTTATTTCATGAAAAGTGAAAATTGACATATTGGTACTGTTGCCTAAACTATTTTTTGATGGAGTATTTTTGAGTGTTTACATTATGGTAATTATGACTCCCTTAGATGCGTCATATTATATTAACCCTTAATTTTAAAAGAGTTGTGCCACCCATGTGGAACCAATTTCGGGCCATCTAATGCACTACAGTGAAACTCACGTGGGTTCCGCTATGTTGCATCAAAGGGATCTAAATTTTTTGGCCCTCTGTTTTGGTTATACCGCTCAACACAATAATCTTCTTTTCTTTTTCTTTTTTTTTTTCTTTTTTTCTTTTTTTTTTTTCTTTTTTTTTTTAAATATATATTGAAAATCCATTATAATTAAAATATTTCATATTTCAATGAAAAAAATGTATGATTCAATTTTTTGAAAACAGTTCTTTCGAATTCAGAAAATAAAAAATCGTATTCGAAAATTATAAAGACAATTCTCTGCAAACACGAATATTTTTTTAACTAAGGTTTTAGAAAACAATCTCCAGAAACCTGATTTGGTATAATTTTTTGATTTTTATTTTTCTTTTGTGTTGATGCGGAAATCCTCACTACTCGAAACGAGGGTTTTTTTTGGTACCTTCTTTAACGAGTTGGTGCCCTATTTAATGCTGTCGATTGGAATCAAATTGATCCCGCGGGAGATCCACTTGTGCGAAATATCGTTTGTTGCCAGATTTGTCGGGAATAAGATTTACTCATTTGACTTCCTCAAATTGTGCCAAGTTATCCTCACCCTGTTGAACCATCATTCATTATCCTGGATAAGAAATGTTATCATTCTTATCCGAGAAAAATCTTTATCTGGCGACTGGTCAAGGTAGATTATTTTTTCCCATCATTTTGAAAATTGAATCAACAAAAAAGTCTCAAAATATTTTCTAGATTGATCACCATAATATTTTAGTGTAAATTATTGTTTTATCACCTGGAAAAGCTATCATCTCCCTTACATCTACTAAGCAACCAAGAAGAGAATCTCTTTTTCAATAAAATTTATACTTTATTATAATATATTTATGCTTTGTTAGGTCGGAAGGGAGAAAGAGGGGTGAAAAAAAAATTAAGTAGGAAGGAGTGAACTTCCTTGTTTGTAGAAAGGAGACAATGAGAGAAATGATAAGTAGGATGAGTCATTTTTCCTCCTTTACACATTTTCATCCCTTCAAATATGAGCAGAAAAGAGGAAGGAAGATAAGTGGTGCTATTATGGAAATTTTAAATTACAATACTATCCTAAATTATACAACTTATAAATTATAATACTATCATTTATAAATTATAATATTATAGATACTGATGAGTATAATGGTCAAAATAATTTCAAACTCTCTCTTTCCCTACCTCCTAATCAATGCAATAAATTATGAGATTATTCTCTTATTTTCTATCAAACCGAGCCAAAAAAAAAAAAAAAAAAACGAAAAAAAGGAGAAAGATAAAACTTTTCTATATAAATATAAATGTTTCACGAATCAATTCTTCTCTTTCTTCCATCCAAATAATTTTGGTGTGAGACATCAATGTGGTACCAAGTTACATTAATAGCACTGTTATAAAAGAGTCAAAAAGTTTACTACAAGAACATTTTTGGATTCCAACGTACTATATAGATTTACCGAAATATAAGAACACCTTTGGAGTTTGAGACCCAAATTCATTAGTTTACACGGAAGAAATTTGAATCTATAGGCATAGAGATGGAAACAATGATGAAGTCAATGGCATGACCCGTGGTCTTCATGCAAAATAGGCGTCCTCACCTATTGTCATAGGTACTCTTCGATGCACCGGGGACGAGACGACGTGACATACTATGGAGAATGATTGGAAAGGGAAGTGAAACAAAAAATGGGACACCATTATATAATAGAATTGTAATCTCTATGGCCAACTTAAATTCAACTAAGATCCCAAAAATTGGGACACCATTATATAATAGAATTGTAATTTCTATTGGCCAACTTAAATTCAACTAAGATCCCACCGCACTTTTCAAAAACTTTGGATGTTTTTTTATGTTTGGGGACACATGTATCAGAGATTTGGTGACACGCAAACGAGAAAAATTAGTTGTCATAACTGATAAGAAAAAAGTAAGCGACTAAAAATACAAATGGGACGGAATTATTTAAAATAACTTTAAAAAGTTAAATGTAGCATGCAAATTGACATGTTATAGAACATATTGAAGAAATTTTTAATGTGACTGCCCCATTCACGTACAAATACGGTAAGAATAATGATAATGATCCACACCACTTATCAGAACTTTGGATGGGTTTGAATTGAAAATTTCTAACTTAAATTGATTTATGCTATAATTAAGTTAAAATATAGTGCAATTCATATTAAATTTAATTCGAGTTAGACTTAAAGTATAGATCGAGTAACCAAACCAATTAACCTAGATCCTATAGCACCGGAAGAATGGAGATTACCTCACAAAATCACAAGAAATTTATACTCCGGTTATCACTCTGGGACTAAATTGAATTTACGTGAATACACAATAATTATATGGGTTAAAATCATAAAAGCTACATCTATTTTTAAAATTGTGCATAAAACCTAGAATTAAAAATAAAATAAAAAACAAAAAAAACCTAAACTAACATAATTTATCAAGTTACCCCCAAACCCATAACCGATCAATTAAATGGGTTGTAAAATGTCAAATTTGATCTTACTGTTTAATTTTTAATTAAAAGCTACAATAATTATTTTAAAATTATAAAAATAATATTGGGGTCAAAAATGAGTCATTGATTGTTAGTAAGATAACAAACCCATCTAAGAATAAATTATATTATTATAAAAGAGCATTTTTTAATTTTAAAATTATATTTATACCTTTTAATTTAATATTTAATAGTAAGGTGAAATTTAACATTTCACAACCCATTTAATAGGTCGGTCACGAATTTAGGGTAACTTGATAGGTTTTGTTAGTTCATGAATTTTTTAATTTCTACTAAAAATTTTAAGCACAATTTTAAAAATAGAGGGTGATTTCAAATCATTTGGATTGTTGTCAATTTGAATACAATCAGATTTTCAATTTTTGGATAATTTGATAGATTTTGTTAGTTCATAAATTTTTTAAATTCTACTAAAAATTTTAAGCACAATTTAAAAAATAGATGGCGATTTCAAATCATTTGGATTGTTGTCAATTTGAATACAACCAGATTTTCAATCTAATAATGAACTCAAAGGTTTGGTGTTAGTTGAATTCGGATTAGAAAACTTGGTTTGTAGATCCATTGACTTTAACATATATTGAAATCTTATACTACCTCAAATTGAGTTTACACTAAACATTTAACCCGGGTTCGAGTCATGTTAATGGCAATATAGATAAACATAATATCCATTGTTAAACCCATTTTAAGGTGTTAAGGGTATTTTTGTCCTTTCAAAAGCAATTTTTTAAATTTCTAATACAGTGTCCTGCACTGCACTGGTTTCCATGAAATGCTCACGTGTTGTGCGTGTGTCATAAGCTTATTGTAATTATTATTATACCCTCCATCAGTTAGTAAGATTGATTAATATTTTAAACTTAAAGTAATTACTAATTAATTTTACATTAATCGACCTTTCTGAGGACTCTAATTGCAGTTGGTGGTATCTTTCTTTACACAAGTTTCTGTCTTCTCATATTTATCACCACCATATATATATATATATATATAAGTCCTCCTCTCAATTCGCTTTTATTGAAACAGAGGTGAGAGAAAAGCAGAGGAAAAACAAAAAGTGGAAGAGAAGAAGAGAGATCGATGTTTCACATGAAAAAACAGAGAATTTCACAAGAAAGATCTGATCTCTTTGATGGGTTACCTGATGATATCATCATCTCCATTCTCTGCAAGCTCAGTTCCACCGCTAGATGCCCTTCAGATTTCATCAATATTCTCTTAACGTACGTGTATGTGCGTGTCTACAATATATATATATATATATATATATATATGTATCTATTTTTGTAATTGAAATTCACCTTTCTTTTTGCTAAACAGATGCAAAAGACTAAACCGGTTGGGTCTCCATCCACTGGTTCTTTCCCGAGCCGGTCCAAAAACATTTTCTATCAAAGCCAACAACTGGTCCGAGTCCACTCACCGCTTCTTACAAAACTGTGTTAACTCCGGCAACATCGAAGCATGTTATACTCTCGGAATGGTCAGTGTGTGTGTATATATATATATATATATATATCACATCCACACATATATATAAATACATAAACATATATATATATATATATATATGACATGTATCTACATTTAATGTGGTTTTGCAGATCCGATATTATTGTCTTCAAGGGCGACGGAGCGGAGCGTCGCTGATGGCCAAGGCGGCGATGAAGTCTCACGCGCCGTCGCTGTACTCGCTCGCTGTGATTCAGTTCAACGGCAGTGGTGGCTCCAAAGACGATAAGGACCTCCGAGCCGGCGTGGCTCTGTGCGCCCGAGCCGCCTCCCTCGGCCACATCGACGCGCTCCGTGAGCTCGGCTACTGCCTCCAAGACGGCTACGGCGTGAGCCAAAACGTAGCCGAGGGGCGCGGGCTCCTTATCCAAGCCAACGCGCGGGAGCTCGCGTGCGTCCTACCCGCCGCCGTGCGGTCGTCTTCGGATTTGGTTACGTGGCTCTGTCAGAACCCCCCACCGGTGGGGGGTTGTCATGTGCCGGCACGTGAGGTGCACCCTGCGCACCGGTTCTTGACGGAGTGGTTCGGGTCGAGGGACGGTGGGTCGGGTCCGGATGTGAGGTGCTCGCATTCGGGTTGTGGTCGGACCGAGACGCGGCGAAACGAGTTTCGGAGGTGCTCCGTGTGTGGGGCGGTGAACTACTGCTCACGTGGGTGTCAGGCGCTGGACTGGAAGTTGCGCCACAAGGCGGAGTGCGGCACGCATGGCCCACGGAATTGATCCGGACGGTGGTGATGGCAAATGATCGGATGGCTGAGGTTGGATAATCTATTGTGGGGGCCAGGCTATTTGATGAATGATGACTAACCATAGATATCGAAGTCAAATGTCTCTTTAAAGTTTGTACATATTGTTCATGGTAAGTTTTCTGTGGTCCATATCTTTTGAATGTTTGTACATATAAAGGAGATTTTGGAGGACAATTATAGTTTTTATTATTAATTTTTTAATGGGATTGAGGGAGTAATTTTTGAAAAAGTATTAAATATCACTAAAGGGTCAGTGATTTTTTAATGGGTTGTGTGTAAGTATCAAATTAAGGAAAAAATATATATATATTAAACAGGTATAATACATATACAATATAAATCGTTGGATCATGGATGGAGTGGTAGGATCCCACCACGTTAAGGGTTGGGATTAATTTGAGGTACCATTTTTCTGAGTATTTAGTATTTTTTACTAATTTTTATAATGAAATAATAGTCAATTCTTTGATTATAACATTGAGATGTATTAAAGTAGTCCTGGGGAGTAATAATTAACTACTATTTGGGCGGACAAATAAACTTAAATATTATATATTATTTTACTCATATTTTATTAATTTATCTTCATTATGCAATTTAAAGTAGCTTTGTTGGAAGGATCATGACCGACCGTTTGTGCCGACATTTTCTAATCAGTGATGATTTGTATTTTCCGGTGAGGACTTGATATAAGACAAAGGGGGTGTAAGGACAAACTAAAGAGACTGAATTTGGTTGCATAAGGAATTTCTAGGAAATGTGAGAAAATAAGAAAGCAAGAGACAAAAAAATCATGGTTTTCATCCAACCTTACATATGCTTGGAACAGTTGGATCCAAAATTCCATATATTTAGCAAGAAATATAATGAAATAAAAATAAGTGGAGGATTATCCCTTGTTTTGAGAATTTTTTTTCTTCCAAGGCCCAAACACTTTGTAGTTATCATGTTCTAAATCATAATAAATTATAAATGGTGAGGTGTCAGATAAAATATAATAAGATTTGAGGTGGACTAAGAGAAGTCGAAGCCATACAAAATTGAGAGAGATCAAGGATGGCAGTGTAGAATCCGGTTTCCGGTATTCGTATGAGAAGGAACAAATTTATATAGAATGATTTTTTTAAAATTTTAGTGGGAGTAATTTTAAAATTTTATGAATATAAATATAAAAAAATATAAATTTTAAAATGTGAAGTATAATAATAAAAAATTTCATTGGTGTATGCCCCACTGAAACCGTCACATATCCATGCTCGCCCCGGCCGCTTGACCTTGGAGCATCGTTAATGGGATACGCCGCTTGGCCTTCGAGCATCGTTATGCTGAAGACATGGTAACTTTGACCCGTTGACTGTAAAATATGGGCCGTTATTGCTGAAGTAGCGCCTGTTGATTTTTTGACCAAAATATGTGAGCCTTTATTGATAATGTGATGCTGCCATGTGGACTGCAGTCTGCAATATACTGACACCCACACACTTCTCTTATGTGGACACTTTAATTTAGCATTTTTTTTAAGATCTGATTTCAATTCAATTTTAAATTATATTATGAGTTATTGGAAAAAATATAAATTTTTTAAAAATAAAAACAATCAATATTTTGCAATAAAACTACAAATTAGTGATTTCATTAATGCTAATGGGGACAAAATTAGCAAATATATTAATATTATTATTATTTTATGTATTATTGTTAAAATTCTATACTATTTTTGATTTGTTGTATCATTGTGATAAACGAATATTAAATAAAGAAAATTATATAGGATGATTTTTAAACTAGTTATATTATATGAAGCAAAATGTTAGACACTGCAAAAAATATTAAGAACAACATATTCATGTAATTTAAATGAGAATAATAAGATAGATGATACGGGTGCTTAAAAGAAATATGATTAATAATCAATATGTTGAGAGACAAATTAAGAGTAGTGTCTAATTATGATAAAAATAAAATAAAATAGGGTTAAGTGCATTAAACCCACCTCAACTTTCTTCTCTTTCCCAATAAACCCTCCTGAATTAAGTGAAGTACGTTTGACTCCCTAAATTATTTCAATTATTGCAAAACGTTAGTGGGCCGTTTAAAATCTAACGTCCAAAGAAGGCACATGACTCGCGTGACTGGGTTAAAATCAATAAAGACAAAAATAACCTTGAATGTGTAAAGTTTGCTTATACACCAATGTATCGTCAAGGAAGACCGAAAGGAACATATACAGATACACAACTATATATATATATATATATTACCTCCCTCCTTTCTCTTCAAACAACCTACGGCATCTGTCCATGGCCGTCACCTCCACCATCCGCCCATGGCCACCACCGACACCGCGACCGTTCTCTCCCCCACACAATATTTTTCCCTCACAACCACCTCACCGTCCACGGCCGCCACCACAACCGCTCTCTCCCCAATCCACCTCCCTCTCTTTGGCCTCCAACTCCGGCAACAACAAGAACTTCAATACCGGTGAGAAGTGGGTTTGTTCTGCAGCGTTAGTGACAGAGGTGCTCGGCGACGGGGAGCTTACCGGAGAACACGATGACTATTCGCGATGGCGGCGCTGAACCACATAGGCAGACGGTAGTGAGTTGAATTGAAACGGCGGCGGCAAGCGAGGATGAACCCACGGGACGGCGACGATTGTTCTTAACGATGGTCGCGGATCAGAACGGTGGCGGTAACGACTGTAGGAGTCGCAAAGCTTCAATGAATTACGGCAATGGTGGCGATGAATTTGGAAGATGTCGGTGAGCTTACCGATGAGCAATGGAACTGAACTGGATATGGAGATTTGAGATCGAGTCACCTGAATATGGAGATTTGAGAGCAAATGAGAAGGATTTGCTGAAAATCAATGGCGAATGAAAGAGGATTTGCTGAGACTGAAAATTAGGGCTTCAAATTTGGGGGTTCTTGCGATATGATGAATATATATATATATCCAAACTCAAGACCAAGTCCTCGTTTGCAATTTCTTGGGTTCGTTCTCAGCATATGATGCTCTCAATGGTGAAAATGATTACTTTCTTCAGGCCAATTATGGATGTATGAGATTTTGATAGCAAAGACTACGAGAATGGTCTGGTTTTGAATGGTGCTTGGACTATAACTAATAATTTATCTCCTACTCTAAGAGTTTTTATATCTGGGAAAGGATTGTTCTTAGCATATTTCCAAGGTGCTATATAATAAACAATTTGCAGTGATTACTAATGCTCTTTGAACCGTGAATTGAGATTAATTCCGTTGAAAAAAGGTCAACCGTCTATGTTTACCGATCTCCGACCATAACAAATAAAATATTTAAATGGAGAGAGACATGCACCAAATCCGATCAATCCCAATATACAACCTATTTAAATTGGAACCCATTTTGATATTTTGATGTTATTACTTCACAATTTCCTCTCGTCTCCTTCAATTTCTTGTTGGCCCCAAGAAATATTATTGACGAGATAGACACAGAGAGGAGGGTGGTGGTGGCTGCCGATAGAGAAGAATTACAATTATTATATATATAATTCTCCACTAATTGAGTTGTCATTCTCTTATTGGTGGAGAATTGTTTTTGTCCACTTCAATAAAATAATTCTGAGTTGGCCAATTTTGATTGGACATAGAGATTACAATTGTTACATCAGCGTATCCAAAAATAATAATAATAATAAATTATTTTTTTTAAAAATAATTCAACACGGAGGGCTAAATGGTAATTTTCATTTTCTGTTAACGGCTCCTTACGGTTCTTGACTAAGTGCAACAAAATGATAGTTTAGGGGGTTTTACTTACTTCAAGAGGGTTTCTTGCAATCGGATTATAATTGAGGGGGGTTTAATGCACTTAACCCAAGAAAATAAAGTGTACTGGTTTGATCAGGGGCGGAGCCAGGATTTAATCTTAGAGGGGGCATAATGTATTTGACAGGAAAAAAAAAATAAAAAAAAAATCATACTAACATGGCATAAATAATTTTTTTCACATCAAAAGGCAAACAATAAAAACAAAAAATTATAACAAAATCGCAAAATTTTTAAGGTGCAGTTTAATATTCTTGATCTAATTCATGTGATAGATTCATAGGAAGTTGTGAACAGAACATAACTATATTGAAATTACTAAAATAGATGATAGATTCACGTGAACAAAACAAAACTTGGGTTTCCATATTCTATTAAAAAAAAAAATGAGTGTGTTTTACTTGCTAATTTAGAGGGAAAAAAACTTGCAAATTGAAGGGTGAGTCGGTGATAAATTGACAGCAAAATAAAAGATTCATTCAGATTTCTATTCCAATTTTAGTTCTGATGTTGAACTATGTAAGTAAAATGAAATTGAAAAATGAAGCAAGGATAAGGGCGGAGAGAGCATGAATATTTTATACAAAGACCTCACTATTTTTGTTCAGAATTTGATCGGCACACGTGCTAACTACAAATTATACTTCACTATTCTTTTCTTCACCACTCAAACACACCACTAACAATTGTCTTTCACTTTTGACTCTAACCCTACACATAACACAGTACTAAACATTATCTTCCCCTTTAGCCCTTGCAAATTCTAGCATGTTTTCACTTTAACTTTTCTTTTTAGTTTTTTTTTTTTTTTTTTGGGGGGGGGGGGGGGGGGGGGGGGCAGTTCAAAACAAAATGCATATAATAATGGTGGGGAGACGCTTTAAAAGTCATTTGTTGTTAAATCTTCAAAATCTTTGCACAACATAGGTACCGTTGGGAACATGGGACAAGAAAGTAATTGCTTATGATGAACTTTGGCATCATCGTCTGTAATATGTTAATTTCTTGTAGATCCACATTATTATTTTCATTAATACTTTCCTCACCACTGAGATTGGAATAATTTATTATTTTCTTAAAATTGCTTTAACAGTCATTTGTCGTTAAATCTTCAAAATCTTTGCACAACACAGGCACCGTTGGGAACTTGGGACAAGTAAGTAATTGCTTATGATGAACTTTGGCATCCATTGATTATTATTTGATTTCTTATGTTTGTTTAGTAAAAATATATATATATTAGATATACTTTAGTAATAATTTGTCCATTAGGATTCAACTGCGATGCACAAAAATACCATGAGTTATAAAATTTAGTAGTGGTAATATATCTTACCTTTGATCCATTATGAGTAAGAGATTTGAACCTTGGTTATTGATACTAACTGAACTTTAAGTTGAGCCAAAAGATAGGTTCCGTTAATATAAGATCTTCAAACCACTTCTTTCTCTATGGTTAATTGGTACAAAATGTAGTTGTAGGTGCAAAAATTTGTTCGACTTTGACAAGTCAACAAAATCTCTACAATTACTACACCCAAAATAAATAGAGAAAAAACAGCGAACTAGAGAAATTGTATAGAGATGGGGGGTATTTTGATGATATAACCGAACCTAGGATTACCTAGATTGTTTACCTATCCCGCCTCATAGAGCGTGGGAATAAGGTTAGAACGTAGTTTTGGCAATGAGAATTTGATCTATCTTTTGGGGGCTTTGCCCTTTTTCTGTCTATCATTTATTGAGGGTCCTAAGCCTTTTTTATATAGGAAAAAACTTTAATTGATTTCTTTTAGGACTCGAATTGTTTGTCCCTTAAGAATCTGAATCACATCTTACCATCCTTATAATAAGGATTTATTTTATTTGGTTTCGATAGATTATAATCATTCTTCTAATAGAACTGTTACTAAAATAGGTTTAGTAATATATTCGTAATTGGGCTTGGAGTCTCATCATTTCAGGCCTTCTTAATGAGTTATGCCCATTATGTTTTAGTTAACTCGACCTAAGCTTCTTATAGAGGCCCAATTTGAAGGTTGAATAGTCTTAGTGTTTGTGGTGACCCCCTTATGTGCTGATGTACCTTGTCTTAATTGGAAGGGGAGATTTTGCCCCCAATCCCCTTTAGTTTGATTTGATAATCATAACTAGAAGGGATTAATCAGATCTAGTGTAATGAATTGTATTGATTAACCGTAGTGAACCAAAAGTTCATATCACTTGAAAAAGCTGGGACAATATGCCTTGATGGTGGCGATGTAGGTAATTTTCATGTAAGTTTATTTCTCAGCACTATTCTGTACCTCAAAGAATTTTATATGAAAATTTAAGAAAAAAAAAGGGCAAAGCCCCCAAAAGAGGATCCAATTCTCATCGCTAGAATTACGTTCCGACCTAATTCCCACGCTCTATAAGGCGGGATACGTAGGCAATCTAGGTAATCCTAGGTTCAGTCATATCATCAAATACCCCTTATCTCTATACAATTTCTCTAATTTGCTGTTTTTTCTCTATGTTATTTTGGGTGTAGTAATTTTAGGGATATTGTTGACTTGTCAAAGTTGAACAAATTTTTGCACCTACAATAGTGTTTCATTTCACAAATCACGTAATGAGAGAATATGGTTTGGGACCTTTATATAATCTTAATCCATTGTTGGTCTTCCCATACACTAAGATTTACATAAGAAAATCAAGAGTTACAAAAAACTCTTCATTAACTCTAACTCTTCATAAATTGTTCATTAGGTGAATGCTAACTTCAAGAGTTACCAAAAGATCACTTAACTCTTCATTAAGTGACCAATAACTCTAATTCTATTAGTGAAGTATTAATCACTTGGTTTATTAAAAAGCATGTAACTCAAATTGGTTATAATTGTATCCATCTTCACACTTTTAGTTTTTTATGCACTAGGTGCACTTAATATTGAATCACCTTCTAATTAATTTCTTAAAACCCTCTTCATGGATGTATCTAGTATAGCATATGTATAATCATGTAAAGACCACATTGAAGTGATGAATTTCTAACAATCTCCTTCTTGACCTACATAATTATACCATTTACTAGATTATTCACATAAAATGGCCATCGTACTTTTCCAAATAAGAGGTTGCACCATCTCCTTTAGATTTTGTTCAATGAAACGACTAATGCCAAACCATTGCAGTTATTTAATCACTCATCGATTCAATACCATTCAATAGTTATAGCATTAATACTTTTATCAACATGAATCGGCGATCTTTAACTAATACTGATGACATTAGCAAAGTATTGGTGATTAGTGCTAATCCATCGTTAACGGTCCAGTATTGCTTTTATATTTAAATATGCGCGAAAGTTGAAAGTAATACAACATAATCATCATATTGTCATAAACATAATGTGATCACAAAAAAATATCAATACACTTTTAACCCAAACACAAAAGACTTTCCACCAAGCCCATGTGCACAACATGATCCTTAAAGAGCTTAGGTAAAAGACCTTTTGTTAACGGGTTTGCTAACATGAGTGTAATACTAATATATTCAATTGAAATAATTTGATTAAAAGCCCTTTCTCTCACAACAAGATACTTGATATCAATATGCTTCGATCCTCTAAGAGTTTTGTTATTATTGGAGAATCAAATAACAGTATCATTATCATAGTAAATTTTCAAGGGTCTTGTAATGGAATCAACAACACTTAATCATGTGATAAAATTTCTTAACCACATTGCATGACATGTGGCTTCATAACATGCTACGAATTCGGCCTCCATAGTGGAAGAAGCAACTAGTGATTGTTTCCAATTCTTCCATAAAATAGACCATTCTACTAGCATAAAAACATATTCAAAAGTAGATTTTCGAGGATCTGTGCATCCAGCATAGTCAAAATTTGAATAACCAATAACCTCAAGGTTATCTGTCCTTTTGTATGTAAGCATGTAATTTTTAGTTCCTTGTAGATAACGCAACATTTTCTTAACTGTTTTCTAATGATCAATACCTAGATTACTTTGGTATCAACCAAGCATACCTATCACATGCGCTAGGTCGGGACGTGTACAAACTTGAGCAGAAGCATAAGGAATTCCCTTTATTTGTTCCCTTTCAATATCAATTTTGTTACATTGAAATTCATCAAATTTGTCACCATTAACAATAGGGGCAACAATATTAGAACAATGTTACATGTTAAACCTTTTAAGAATCTTATCAATATAGGCTCGCTGGGATAATCCTAAAAAACCACGAGACCTATCTCGGTGAATTTCAATATCAATGTTAAACCTTTTAAGAACCTTAAATATGCTTGGAACAGTTGGATCCAAAATTCCATATATTTAGCAAGAAATATAATGAAATAAAAATAAGTGGAGGATTGTCCCTTGTTTTGAGAAATTTTTTTCTTCCAAGCCCAAACACTTTGTAGTTATCATGTTGGAAATCATAAAAAATTATAAATGGTGAGGCGTCAGATAAAATATAATAGGATTTGAGGTGGACTAAGAGAGGTGGAAGCCATACAAAATCGAAAGAGATCGAGGATGGCAGTGTAGAAAAATCATTCACCTCAATCAGGGAAAGATGAATTTATACGAGAAGGGACAAATTTATATAGAAAGTTTTTAAAAAATTTTAGTAGGGACAATTTTAAAATTTTATGAATATAAATATAAAAAAATATAAATTTAAAAATGAAAATATAGCAATAAAAAATTTCATTGGGAGCACGCCGCCACTTAAACCTTCACAGATCCGTGCTTGCCTCGGCCGCTTGACCTTAGAGCATCGTAAATGGGATACGCCGCTTGACCTTCTAGCATCGTTATGCTGATGACATGGTAACTTTGACCCGTTGACTGTAAAATATGGGCCGTTATTGCTGAAGTAGCGCCTGTTGATCTTTTGACCAAAATTTGTGAGCCTTTATTGATAATGTGATGCTGCCATGTGGACTGCAGTCTGCAATATACTGACACCCACACACTTCTCTTATGTGGACACTTTAATTTAGCATTTTTTTTAAGATTTGATTTCAAATCAATTTTAAATTATATTATGAGTTATTGGAAAAAATATAAATTTTTTAGAAATAAAAACAATCAATATTTTGCAATAAAACTACAAATTAGTGATTTCATTAATGCTAATGGGGACAAAATGAGCAAATATATTAATATTATTATTATTTTATGTATTATTGTTATAATTCTGTACTATTTTTGATTTGTTGTATCTTTGCGATAAACGAATATTAAATACAGAAAATTATATAGGATGATTTTTAGACTAGTTATATTATATGGAGCAAAATATTAGACACTGAAAAAAATATTAAGGACAACATATTCATGTAATTTAAATGAGAATAATATGATGGATGATAAGAGTGCTTAAAAGAGAGATGATTAATAATCAACATATTCGGAGAAAAATTAAGAGTAGTGTCTAATTATGATAAAAATAAAAGAAAATAAAGTGTAGTGGTTTGACCAGGGGCCGAGCCAGGATTGTATCTTAGAGGGGCCATAATGTATTTGAAAAAAAAAAAAAAAAAAAAAAAAAAAAAAAAAAAAAAAAACCCTACTAACATGGCATAAATAATTTTTTTTACATCAAAAGGCAAACAATAAAAACAAAAAATTATAACAAAATCACAAAATTTTTAAGGAGCAGTTTAATATTCTTGATCTAATTCATGTGATAGATTCATATGAAGTAGAAATTACTAAAATATAGGGCAAATTTCATAAAACCTCCGTTACTTTCATTTTTGAATCATAAAATCCTAATCAGTTTCTAAAAACTCCTATACTTTTAAAAAGTGTTCACATTGCCCCAATATCTGTATCCGACCCGTTAATTTGGCTGTGAAATGACAAACTTGACATTATAATTTAATATTAAATTGAAAACTAAAAATTATTTTTTAAAATTACAAAAATACCCTTAAAGTCTTCTTCTTCTTCACCCCCTTCTCTCTCTCTCTCTCTCTAAAACAGACCATCTGCCGGAAGTGGACGCTCTTTTTCAATAAAATCAGCAGAACCTATTGAAATCGAGGTTGTTGAGTCACCTATTCAAATCCAGGCTGTTGAGATACTTTCTCAGCTCAAGGAAGCAGTCAGGGGGACTCTATTGCAGCTAGAGAAAGAAGTGTGTCATGAGCAGTCAACAATTTTGGTTCCTGGTGGGATTATTCACAGCTTGACTAGGTATGTGATGGACTATACCATTCGGGTCTCCGAGTACAAGCAATCTTTAACTTCAATAATTGTATCTAAGCCATCAATATATTTGAAATATTTGGATGATGAGACGATTATTCATATGGACTATATAGAAGTTGAGGGGCAAACTTCGTTGGCACTCCATTTAATTTGGATTATTCAAAATTTAGTACGCCAGTTGAATGTCAAGTCCAAATACTACGATGATGCCGACTTGGCTCTTTCGTTCATGGTGGACAATGTTCTTTACATTCTTCAGAAAATTATAGGCTGTTCAGAATTGAGGATGGTGATTGGGAATCATTTGTTAAACAAATTATATAGACTTTTAATCCACTATGTGAGAGTTTCAACATTGAGAATCGAATCCAGTATGAGACCGGAGAAACTAGGCACCAGTGGGTGCTGCTCTTCTGGGATGTCAAGGATTGCTTTGAGAGAGATGCCCAGGACCCGCAGAGCCATGCTTAACGAAGCTGGCAGTAGTCTAACAAAATTTATGCAGCTTCACCTGGCGCTTAATGCATCGTGTGTGTTACCCTGTAGAGAGGAGTGTCGAAGGAATTCTTGGAGATGGATTCTCACAAGCGACTCCATAGAAGAGAATCGGAATGAGAATTTTGAACGAGAAGAGAGACCACCCAATATCGTGTCACCATTGTTGGCTCGTCGCAGAGCTCCGAAGACGGGTATGTGAAACGATTATTCTCTCTCTAAATTTACCCAGTTTTAGAGAGAGAATAAATCTTGAACGTTCACCGAAGTTGTTCATGAAGGTTGCCAATCATGGGTCCTCTGAATTTTCAGTTTAAACGAACACACAGAGCACTAGTTAAACCGCCGTCGTCACTAGAAAAGGGTTCACTTGCGATCCTTTTTGCAACAATCCCTAATTCACGGTTGCAGAGACCACCACACACAGATAAGGGTTGGTTTGGTGAGTTTGAGACCGACTTTTGAAGGAACTGAGTTGACCAAGGTGGGCCTATTGTCACACCCCGCTACCAAGAGGCTATGCCACGCAGGCGCCACGCAGACGCCCAGCAGACGATGACATGGAGCCTGCATGGATTGGAGCTTTCTAGACTTCTCTACACAAGTATGAAACTTTCCGGAATTCTCTAGATTAGTGTGGAGTTATCTAGCCTTTTCTAGACTTGTCTAGAGTTCTATAGAATTCTCTAGAATTCTCTAGACTTGTCTTGTACATAGTAGATAGTTCTAGAGTTGTGTAGATATTTCTGGAGGATTCTAGATACTAAATCTAGGCCACACATTTGTACACATCTAGAATGTTCTTGTAAGGCCAAAGGCCTATAAATAGGAGGTGGGAGTTCATTTGCTCCTCACCAAGCAACCAAGTTGTAATCTCTCCTCTCAAGTAATACAAGTTCTATACATTCCCAAACTCTCTTGCTCACTTGCCTAACCTCTTCCTACACACCCAAGTAAGCAAAACACTTGTCTAGCCTTAGTCTTCACTAAGCTAGCACACTCGGGTAGGCTGACTTAGCGCTTCAAGGGGGCTTGAAAGTGTCTAAGGCCGCACGGGAGCTTGAAAAGGTTCAAGTCCGTGACAGTTGGTATCAGAGCTAAGGTCGTGAGGCGTCACACCTTGTGTGGAGGAAGCTATGGCGGAGCTATCAGACGTGACTGGTGCCCAAGAGGAGACTCTACGTGGAAGGGAAACAAATCCCCCTCCAGGCGGAGTGAGGACGAGGGCTAGGTCGAAAGACATTATGGCGGGCTTAGAGGCACGTATGGCAAACATGGAGGGGTCCATAGCCAACGTGTTGGAGCAGCTTGAGGATGCTCACCAGCGCATGGATGGGCTGGAGTCGGAGGACGTTGAGGTCCAAAATGCTGTCAAAGGGTCACTCAATGCCCTAAGTGGTGACTTTCGGCAGGAGCTCCAAGCACTTCGAGAACTTATGTTGGGGGAGTTTGCCACCCTACGTGGCTATGTTGATCAGGAGCTTGGCACTTTCCGCGAGCAAGTGGAGGAAATGCGAGCGGACTGGACATTGTGCAAACGGGCGGTGGCGTCCGGCACAGCTACTACGGGGGTAGTAGCACCCCGGGTTGATATTCCCAAGCCTAAGTGCTATGGTGGGAACCGGGTAGCGAGGGAGTTGGAGAACTTCCTCTTCAGCATGGAGCAATACTTTGAGGCTACAGGCATGACCGATGAGACCATCAAGATACGTACGGCGACCCACTACCTCACCGACCATGCCATGCTATGGTGGAGGAAAAAGTATGGTGACATAGGCAAAGGTACGGTCTCTATTGATACTTGGGCTGATTTCACTAGGGAAATTAAGAAGCATTTCTATCCTGAGAATGCCGAGGATGAAGCTAGGGGCAGACTCCGAAGGCTAAAACAGGTTGGGTCGATTCGGGACTATGTGAAGGAATTCACTAACTTGACTCTTGAGATCCCGGATCTATCCGACAAGGACTCTCTTTTCTTCTTCATGGATGGATTGCAGTTGTGGGCTAAGACGGAGTTGAGGCGGCGCAACGTGCAAGACCTTGCCACAGCTATTGCAGAGGCAGAGTCCTTTATTGATTTCAGCTCCAAGAAGGAACCCTCGTCCAAGCCAAAAGACAAAGACAAGGACAAGGGGAGGTATGCCGGCAAAGGTGGGGGAGACAAGGGCGCTGCACCCCACAAGGATTGGTCCCGTAAGCCAGGTGGTGGCCATGGAGGCAAAGAGGGAAGGGAGAACAAGGAAGGAGCACCCAAGCCTAAGGGTTCTTGCTTCATATGTGATGGACCACATTGGATACGAGATTGCCCAAAGCGGAAGACCCTCAATGCCATGACAAGCCGCTACGAAGAGCAACAGCAGGAGGAGGCGCAGATGGGTTCATTGCAAATCCTTAATGCCATCAAGGCTAAAACTGAAGTCCCTAAGGCGGCAGCTAAAGGGCTAATGTTCGTGGAGGCGAGCATTAATGGGACACCCACACGTGCTTTGGTGGACACGGGTGCATCCCACAACTTTGTGAGCCTTGACGAGGCCAAGAGGTTGGGCCTCAAGTATAGCAAAGAAGGGGGCTCCATGAAGGCAGTTAACTCGGCGGCAAAGGCTATACATGGCATGGCACACGGCGTCCAAGCATGCATTGGCGAGTGGGGTGGCCACATAGATCTATCGGTGGTACCCATGGACGACTTCAAACTAGTCCTTGGGTTGGAGTTCTTAGATAAGGTGAGAGCTTTCCCCATCCCTTTTGCTAACACTATGTGTATTATGGAAGGCAACACAGCATGCATGGTGCCAGTGGAGCGAGGCGCCAAGTTGGAAGCCCAAGCTTTGTCAGCTATGCAGTTCAAGAAGGGCTTCAAGAAGGGAGAGACTAGCTACCTTGCTACGTTACTGGAGACACCCGAAGATGAGCTAGTCCCTTCCCCACAAGAAGAGGTGCCTAAGGAGATACGAGCCGTGCTAGACGAGTACACGGACGTGATGCCTAAAGAGCTGCCCAAGAAGCTTCCACCTAGGAGGGAGGTGGATCATAAGATTGAGCTGGAATCGGGTTCTAAACCCCCTGCTTTGGTGCCCTATCGGATGGCACCCCCAGAGTTGGAGGAGTTGCGGAGGCAACTTAAGGAGCTGTTAGATGCGGGCTATATTCGACCATCGAAGGCCCCATATGGCGCACCGGTGTTGTTCCAAAGGAAGAAGGACGGGTCCTTGCGCATGTGCATTGACTACCGGGCGCTCAACAAGGTGACTATCAAAAACAAGTACCCCATTCCTCTCATTGCCGATCTCTTTGACCAGCTTGGTGGAGCACGCTACTTCACTAAGCTTGACTTGCGCTCGGGGTACTACCAGGTGCGGATAGCGGACGGGGATGAGCCTAAGACTACGTGTGTAACGAGGTATGGCTCCTATGAGTTTCTTGTTATGCCGTTTGGCCTCACCAATGCACCTGCTACTTTTTGTACTTTGATGAACAAGCTCTTCCATCCCTACTTGGATCGCTTTGTGGTGGTGTACTTGGATGATATTGTTGTGTATAGCACCACTCTAGAGGAGCACGTGCAGCACTTGAGGGCGGTCTTCCAAGTCCTACGGGAAAACGACCTATATGTGAAGACGGAGAAATGCTCATTTGCCCAAGAGGAGGTGTTGTTCCTAGGGCATAAGATACGGGATGGCAAGCTAATGATGGATGAGGCAAAGGTGAGGGCCATTCAAGAGTGGGAGCCGCCCACTAAGGTGACAGAGCTACGCTCATTCCTTGGGCTTGTCAACTACTACCGCCGCTTTATCAAGGGTTACTCGGCGAGAGCAGCCCCACTGACGGACCTTCTCAAGAAGGCGCGTGCTTGGAGTTGGACAGAGTCGTGCCAGGGGGCATTTGATGACTTGAAGAGGGCAATTACGGAGGAGCCGGTACTTAGCTTGCCCGACCACTCCAAGCCATATGAGGTGCACACGGATGCATCAGACTTCGCTATTGGGGGTGTGTTGATGCAGGAAGAACACCCCATAGCTTATGAGAGCCGCAAGCTTAATGACACTGAGCGGCGCTATACTGTGCAAGAGAAAGAAATGACGGCGGTCATCCATTGCCTACGTACTTGGAGGCACTACTTGCTCGGGGCACAATTTGTGATCAAGACGGATAATGTTGCCACCAGCTACTTCCAGACACAGAAGAAGCTTAGCCCCAAGCAAGCTCGTTGGCAGGACTTCCTAGCGGAGTTCACTTACCATTTCGAATATAAGCCGGGCAAGGCCAATGTGGTGGCGGATGCGCTTAGTCGCAAGGCCGAGCTCGCAGCTATAAGTCGGCCCCAGCACCCTCTTGTGGAACGGATCAAGGAGGGGTTACAGCATGACCCTCTAGCCAAAAGCCTTATTCAGCTGGCTAAAGAAGGGAAGACTCGGCGCTTTTGGCTAAGGGATGATTTACTTCTCACTACAGGGGACCGACTATTTGTGCCCAGGTGGGGCAACTTGCGAAAGGAGTTGATACGGGAGTGCCATGACACCAAATGGGCTGGACACCCAGGTATGCGGCGTACACTAGCACTCCTAGAAGATTCTTACTATTGGCCTCGGATGCGAGATGACGTGGAGACATATGTGAGGACTTGTCTTGTGTGCCAACAAGATAAGATTGAGCAACAGCATCCTGCAGGCCTACTAGAGCCATTACCTATTCCAGAGAGACCATGGGAGAGCGTCTCTATGGATTTCATCACTTGCTTGCCCAAGTCAGAGGGTTGCGGGAGCATTATAGTGGTGGTAGATCGGTTCAGCAAGTATGCCACCTTCATACCTGCACCAGCAGACTGCACCGCAGAGAGGGCAGCAGAGTTGTTTGTTGACCATGTGGTCAAGCTTTGGGGAGTTCCGCAGAATATTGTCAGTGATAGAGACCCGCGTTTCACGGGTAGATTTTGGACGGGACTCTTCAAGAAGATGGGGACGGATCTCAACTTCTCTACGAGTTTCCACCCCCAATCAGATGGGCAGACGGAGCGCATCAACGCTCTTCTGGAGCTTTATTTAAGGCACTATGTGAGTGCCAACCAGCGAGATTGGGCCAAACTCCTTGGAGTGGCACAGTTTTCTTACAACTTGCAGCGGAGTGAGGCTACCAATCACAGTCCATTTGAGGTTGTTACCGGACGGCAGCCTATGACACCCAACGCCATTGCTTCGACTTGCG